TAAAATGTTTTATTTATTTTTGACAGAGAGAGAGACAGAGCATGAGCAGGGGAGGGGCAGAGAGAGAGGGAGACACAGAATCCGAAGCAGGCTCCAGGCTCCGAGCTGTCGGCACAGAGCCCGACGCGGGGCTCGAACCCACAGACTGCGAGATCATGACCTGAGCCGAAGTCAGACACTCAACTGACTGAGCCACCCAGGCGCCCCAACCTGTGCTTCCTTCATTCGCAACTGCCCTTCTACTTGGGCCAGATGGCCCCTGACCTGGCCCCACATCTTAGAGCTGCCACTGTCCAACACACCAGCATTGGCCACATGTGGCCCCGACACACTTACAACACGGCTCAGGTGACGGAGGAATGGAATTCAAATGTAGTTTAATTTTTTAAAATTTTCTTAATGTTTACTTATTTTTGAGAGACAGAGAGAGACACACAGAGTGTGAACAGGGGAGGGGCAGAGAGAGAAGGAGACACAGAATCCGAAGCAGGCTCCAGGCTCCGAGCTGTCGGCACAGAGCCCGATGCGGGGCTCGAACCCGGGAATGGTGAGATCATGACCTGAGCCGAAGTCGGACGCTTAACCGACTGAGCCACCCAGGCGCCCCAAATGTAGTTTAATTTTAATTAATTTGGGGTTTGAGAGCCATACGTGGCTAGTGGCTACCATGGTGGAAGGCACAGATACAGAACATCTCCTTCATCACGGAAACTCTGATGGGGCAATGCTGCATTAGAAGGCCCCACCTAGGGGCGCCTGGGGGGCTCAGTCAGTTGAGTGTTCAATTTTAGCTCAGATCATGATCTCGCGGCTCATGGGTTCGAGCCCCACGTCGGGCTCTGTGCTGATAGCATGGAGCCTGTTTGGGATTCTCTGTCTCACTCTCTCCACCCCTCCCCTGCTTGCACTCTTTCTCAAAAATAAACAGACGCTAAAAAAAATGTTTAAAAAAAGAAGGTCCCACACATCACAAACGCACACACCTTTACTAAGCACACAGGCATCTCTGTCCCCACCTGCTTTTGTGACTAACCCGGTTCAGGCCCTGGGGAGACCGTTCTCCCCACCTCTTGCTCTATGACATGAAAGGAAAATATGGCCTACACACACACACAACAGAATATGATCCAGTCTCCACAAGGAAGGACGTCCTGCCACCTGCCACCATGTGGACAGACCGTGAGGACACTGTGCACGGTGACAGAAGCCAGACACAGAAGGACATGTCCTGCATGACCCCGCTCACGGGAAGTTCCTAGAGGAGTCCTGTCCACAGAGACAGACAGTAGACGGTGGGAGCCCCTGGGGTGGGGGGCAGCAGGGGGCAGGGAGAGTCAGCGCTTCGTGGGAACAGAGTCCCGGTTTGGGGAGATGGAAAGTTCTGGAGCCGGGTGGTGGGGGTGGCTGCACGACAGTGTGTGTGTGCCTGACGCCTCTGGGCTGTGCACTCAGAGATGGTGAGCTTTATGTTGTATTTATCTCGCTACAACAGTAAGAAAAAACAAAGTCATGAGCACTAGCAGTCATTCCCCATCTCGACCCACATGTTTTCCTAACGTTAATAAAAATTTTTACTATTTCAAGAAACTTTTTAGAAACACATGAAAAATTACGTTGCTTTCTCCACGTTTTACACTCACTCAGCATCTCTGGTGAAAATACACCTGTTTTGTAGCCTTGGGCTTTACCCACATCTCCTGGATAGATCCTTACCTCAGCCTTTCTCCACTGGGGTTCCAGCAGAAATGAAGGCCTCACGCCCCCGGGCACCCGTGTGGGTAGGAACGCACACCCCTCTGAGGATCCGTCCCTGCGGGGACTCAGGCTCTGGACGCCACCACGTCATGTGCTCTGCAGTCCAGAGGCAGAAGCCTGACGGGAAAGCGGCCGTGTTCCTTTGCCACGGCTGCCGTTACGGAGGGCCAGCGACACAGTGGCTCCAACACCAGATATTCATCGTCCCACAATTTTACAGGCTGGAGGTCCGAGACGGAGGAGTTGGCAGGTTTGGTTCCTTCCGAGGTATCTGTCCCGAGCGTGCAGACACCGTCTTTTCCCCCGTCCTCACACGGTCGTCCCTCCGTGGGTGTCCGTGTCCTCGCCTCCTCTTACAAGGACAGCAGTCAGACCGGATCAGGGCCCACGTTTGCGGCTGCATTTTGACCGAATCACCCCTTTAAGGACCCTCATCTCCAAATACAGTCACATCTGAGTGGGATCTTGGGGTTTTGGACTTCAAGAGATAAATTTTAGGGGGACACAAGTCAGCCCATCCATGACAGCTGCTTCAGGGCATTTCCGTAACAAAACTCGAAAGGACGTGAAAATCTTGATTACTGCAAACATCATTCATGCTGAAACTGAGGCACCTAAGAGAAATTTCACAGAATATAGAATCATT